AACAATCACAGGCCGACTCACACAAAACCTCTAGGCGGTGGCTGCAGCTTGAAGACACTTGGACCCGGCTAGTCTCCTGGCTGGTCGTATTCCTTTCAAGTCAGATCTCTTTCCATCTATTCTCCGTTCGTCTGTGTACACAATATACTGTTCCTTCTACTCTGGCCTTCCAAGGCTTCTTCTCTACTACGTAGCCATGGTCTGAAGATCGCAGTTGCAAGGGTTTAACTCACTTAACCCCCTGCGATAGACAACTTGAAAGGCTTCATTCGTATCAACTCGGTGATTCGTATCGACAAGGTGTGCGAGGATAGAATATGAAGTCGATCTAGTTTCACCCTTACTTAACCAGGCCGGTATGTGTAAACGTGCGCATTTTTCCAGGCACTTCATTGTTTGGCAATATATCCTGCAGAAGTAGGGGAAAGAAGCAAATGAAAATTGATGTAGCCTTCAACGTAGGTGGAGGAGTCCGTGAAGAACATGCGCAAGTTCGCCGCGGGAAAAGCGCTTGTGATCGCTGTCTTCAGACGTCATTTTATCAGTTCGCTTGTGGCATCGCTCATCAAAAGGCAGTCTAATGAACACGTCTTTCTTTTCTGCAGTTTCGGTAGCAGGCTTTTTAGCGCGTTCGCCAATATTCTTGAGGATGAATTTCTCTGGGTATATGCAGCTCTTGGCGTTCTGCTTCGGCAGCTTCAGGGGGGCACATCGGTCACACTCCAGCTGCCCAGATTTCATTTGATATCTAGGGGAACAAAACTGTGAAAGTTCCATCCAAATTTTATTTCGGAATACCCTATACTGGGTAGATACTCCTTTTGCCCTCGTAGAAGGGCATCAAGGAAGTTAATTTACTTATCTACCTCAGCCTCTGCAGAAAACTTGAGCGATGGATGCGCGTTGTTAAAATTCCTGACAAGGGCGCCGGTGTCGGTGATATCGTTTGCCAGCCGGAAGATGTCATCTAGAGTCGTTTTCTCCTATAAAAACCTTTGAGAGAAACGGTCCAATTGGTGAGCCCATCACCACACCGTCTATCTGCTAGATGGACCTGGAGTAGAGCTCCAGGTAGATGAAACACTCATCAGTCAGATGACGGATATAAAATGTCGTAGTTCGGCCTGCCAATTGTTTTTATCCCATATAACGAAAACATTTACCACTAGGCACCATTTGTCATGTTTTTTTCAAAGTTATTTTTAATTAGTGGCCTTACTATAAAGGTTACGGCTAGTCTACGGGAAGCCGAAACGTGCCCTGGGGTTCTGTATAGGTTTTGTATTCTCTGTAATCGAAAAGCAACCGCTTCCCACTGAAGATTTCCGTGTGGTGAGGGCAATGGAGTATTTCAAAATAATTTGAAAAGGGCGAAGATCACAAGTTGAGCAGAATGTATTGACGTCATA